GGGAACAAGTTCAATCGTCGTTGCTCTCAGTAATGTGAAACTATCACATCCAAACTTTGTAAATTATAATAAACAAAAATTGTAAATATGAATTTTTTAAATGAAGAAAAGCGTGTAGGATTATTGGTTCAACTTTTCTTGGCCATAAATTTTCGAGGATACGTTGACCGGTTAACGTTATATACGTTTTTTTAGAAAAGTTAAATTTAGATACTCGCACATCAATAGAGTGGTTCCAACATTGCTTTCATTATGACACTCCCCCTCATAATGAAAGAAATGTTAAAAATTATTTATATCATAATTATGCAAACCCAGGGATAGGAAGAGGTGGACTAATTGCATAGGCCTCCTCGATCACCTGACCAATCCATTTTAGATTTTTTTATGCTGTATGGCTAACAAGGTTAACAAAAGAACTTACCAATTAAGAGAGGCATCATGCAAGCATGAATTAGAAGAGGAGAAGTTTATTAAAAAGCTTGTAATTCAGTTTTAAAAAGATGCATTTTATGTACTCAAAACGATGGTGGTTTTTGAACATTTGCTAAAATAACTTAAAGTGTATGTAGTGATATTAGTTTTTTAAGTTTTATTTTGTGTAAGGTAAATTGTAAAGAACCGTTTAATAAAACATTCTGTCTTTTTATAAGTTACAAATCATAACAGAATAAAATACCATACCAACTAAGTGAAATTAGCCAAGAAAGATAAGAATTGGTTGATAACTCAGTAATTTTTCGAAAATAAACATATTATAGCTTATATCGGTGAAAAGCTTAAAAAATGGCGCATTTTATGAAGTCATGGCCAACTATGGTTTCCATTTAAAAAAACATATGTTTGTGTCATATGTCAAAAATGACAGGCTTTAGAAAAAAACGGAGGACACAATCTCATTAAGGATGTGATTATCTACAACTTTGATCTGAAAACTTTTTCTCTAAAATAGATTATAACGGAATTAGAGACGATTTATAAAATAGCAAAAATTTGTTTTTTTCGAAATATCAAGTAAGCCATGAACTTTTTCAAAAATCTGAAAGGAGCATTTATGACCCCACAAAACTGCAATTCTTTCCCCATTTAACCGACTCTCTATCTCCAATAGTTTCCGAGTTACCCATAGAGAACATCGTAGAAAACTCACCCTGTATAGCAGAAAATATCGAAGATCTATAAGAATTAGTAAATAGAGTCAATGAAGCTTGAAAGAATTGGGGGCTATCTATTAATATAAATAAAACGAAATATATGGTTGTGAGTAAAGTAGCTGTCGGCGAGACCTCATTATTAATGAATGAAGAAACGTTGGAGAGGGTGGCGAAGTTTAAATACCTAGGCTGTTGGATTAACCAACACATCGATCCCTCATGCGAAATCATGTGTCGTATAGAACAAGCAAGAAATGCACTTCAGAAGTTTAAGTCGCTGCTCTCAAATAATTCACTAAACATCAAAATACGGGAGAAGTTTACAAAGTGTTATGTGTGGTCGATTCTTTTGTATGGATGTGACACGTGGACACTTAATAAATAAACGATAAATAAAATCGAAGCATTTGAAATGTGGACATATAGAAGAATGCTTAAAATATCTTGGACCACCAGAACCAGAAATGAAGAAGTTCTTCGAAGAATGGAGCACGACGAACTACTTCTGAATATTATCAAGCGACGAAAACTCGAAATACCTTGGCCATATAAACGGAGGACCTCGATATGAGTTCCTCCGACTGATCCTTAACGGGAAAACCGAAGGAAAGAAATGGATTGGACGCAAGAGGCTTTCGTGGTTGAGGAACTTGCGGCAATAGACAGGCTTGAGCGCAGATGAATTACTCCATGTAACGCAAGATCGAGAGCGATACAGAGATATTGTTAACATGGCAGTCGTCAACATTCACTAGGAACATGACACTTGAAGAAGAAGAATATCCTTTAAAAAAACAATTTAAGATGGAACTTTTAATGTTACACCAGAAAACTCTAGAGAAATCTTCCATAATACATCCAAAAACATCTCATTTTAAACTCTAGACGCACGTATGCCATTACCAGTAGATGATTAAAACTGATACAGGTTTATTCATTAAGATTAGTTTAACTCATCTGCTGATGATGCTAACATGATTCTCTAACATGAAGATTTTGTCTAATGAAAGTATGATTCCGTTGTAGAATATAGAATGTTTAGGAGAGGGGTTAATCACCGTGACCTTACAAATCTATTGTGTGTTCCCCTTTCTTTAGTTATAATGAGTAAAAGTAACACAGAGGTCAGCTCTCCATCTTCAGCCGTACCAAAGTTTATAGCACAAACGGTTGTTGTCTCGGCGCACTCAGTGATGAGGTGTTTTGGTGTTTCCCCATTTTCCCATAGAATCTGCATTCGCCGTTGTTTCTCAACTTCAATCTACTGAGGTGTTTGTTGAGGAGACAGGGTCCTCTTAGAAACCCCGTGACAATCCAAAGATTGTCTTTATTTAAATCAAGGAAAATCTGATTTTTCTCGGTCGTAAGTTCGGAGGAACTTTTTCGAACGTCTTAGACCGTTGGAGGATTCCCGTTCCAGGTTACGGATGGAGTCTTCCAGGTTCTTCAGCTCCGCTTTAAGTTGGTTTCCGCTTGGAAAGCAGAACGGTTCTGGTCCAGTTAGTGGAGTGTTCGTTCCTTTTCTAGCTAGATCGTTTGCTTTTTCATTGCATTTTATCCCTTGGTGAGCGGGCACCCAGAGTAGGAGGACTTTATTTTCTTTACGTAATTTATTTAGCTTCTCTAGGCATTCTTTGACCAACCTCGAATTGATGGTTACTGAATTGATTCCCTTAATCTAATGTTTTTTGTTTAGAACAAAATAAACATTTATTCATGCTTTAAGTAGTTTTTTGAAACTTGAGATCCAACATGACGATTGAAACAATACCTGAAATCGCTAATTTTGACTGGCCAGCATCAATATATTTTGTAATGATTTATTAATATTATTACTCTTAATTGAAATACATATAATATTTTTCGCATTAAGAAATGGTTACAGTAACAATCGATTATTTTGGTTGTTAGCTGTAAGACCTCCAAATTCAAAACCATTAAGAAACCAAATCTAGAATCATACAAGATCTATTTAATTAGTTCAAGGATAAAACCTAAGATGCGAAACCAGATTTTTTAATAAAACAAAGTTTCGTGCGCAATGAACCATACACATTCATAGTCAATGATCCAAATATATTACATAAAAAACGTCATTTACTATACTAGCGCTGTAACGAAGGAATAAGTCTCGAAAAGAGTAATAAAAGGCTTTGAATAACAAATGTTTATTTACTAAAAACGTTTTAAAACGCATGAATTGCCAGAAAAAAGAACGGTTCTCTAATTCAATGTACATTGGAAGTCGGCCAGTTTAATTAGATTTAATTTTTAAGTTTAACAAGTTAAATTTATATTTTTTAACTGCTAGCTTGTTTGTCGTTCCCTTAATTCTGGAATTAGTGCCGATACAGTTTTTTTTTATTATAAGCAGTTGATTTTTTTTTGAATTTAAGTAATCCTACATATGTCCCCGGACAAGAGGAAAAACTGTTTGAGAAAAATTTTGAACATTTTGAGAAAAATGCATGCGTCACAAACATTTTTACTTGTTATAAAATGGTACAGCCCGTTTATACTTTTCCAAATTTCTTGAAAACAACTTGAAAACATAATCAAATTTTTTCTTAAGTCCTAAAAATCAAAAGGTGTTCTGTGGTAATATCATTTCAATTTCATTCTTTGACAGATTGTTGTTTTTCAGAATTTCATTTTCCGTTATATATTTTCTCTTTTTAAATGCTAAAGTACAAAATTTATTTAGTTCATTTCTACGGAAAAAGTGATAATCGTTATCGGAAACTGTGATACTTTAACAACAGTAAAAAATATGACGTTATTGGAAATTAATAATATCCATCTATCAAAGAATGAAAAAATCTAAATAATATTACCAAGCCTTTTGATTTTTAGAACAGGAAAAATTCAACTTTCCATACAATTTTCTCTAAAAGAGTATGGAAATTTGGAAAAGTATAAACGGGATTAACCATTTTAGGAAAAGCAAATTTTTTTATGAAGAATGCATTTTTCTCAAAATGTCAATAATGAGCTTTGTGTGTGATAATATGTACTCACACTAGGTTAGAGAACGTTTAGTTTTAATAATAAAATAGTTTTTTCCCTTGTAAAGACAATCCATAGACATACTGTATAATAACAAATCAGTAATTCCTGACAGCTGTTTGATATTTGTTATTACGTATTTGCAGTCCTTGGCAATCGTTATCAAATGTTAAAACTATAACATAAGAACTTAAAGAATTTCCCTACAATAATTAACTATTTTAGAAATTATTTATATTTTTAATCTTGTAGATTTACTGTTTGACAATAAGTATTTTTTTGTGAGGAATACAGGACATTTAACATTTTTCAAAACTTACAGGGTACTTTCTTGAAAATACCATACAATCGAAAAAAAGAGAGGCAGACATAAAGCTCGCTGTCAAGTTACAGATAAAACTTTATAGGGAATGTTATTATTCGTCATTTCCAAACTAATTTGACGCCTTTTATTTTTCAGCAACTGACCATATTTTTTCTTAAAGTTTATTTTTCTACTCAATTATAAATCAAGAAATATTGTTCAGACTTCAATCGATTTCTGTTAGTAAAAATAACATAAAATTGTTATTACCATAGGTAAGCGAATGGTGTGTATTATGTCGTAGGTGTATATATTTAAACCTCTCATTTAGAGAAAATAAATATTTAGAAATGAATTTTACAACGATGAAATAATTGTATGGCTAATTTCCTCATAACCAACTAAAATAAAGAATAAACATATTCCCGCCGTATCTGCGAAATGTCAGTTCAAATTACGTAACGCGTCATAAAAATAACCGCAGATATTTTAAAGTATTCCTAAAATTAGAATTTCGGGCTGGCTGGGTTACTCACCTTCTTCCGCTGGAAGTTCTGAAAAAATGCAAAAATTATTAATTAGTACGTGTTTTTTCAAATTCCTTACTGCACTTATTACATATAAAATAGTTCTAAAGTTGTTCTGTTTAATAAATCCTCAATTAAAATTCCGTATTGTGCGTGGATATACATTTTTGCGGATAGCATTACATGTTATTTTCATTTATATAGAATACAATAAAACAAATAACTCTTTGTACACAGCCTATTCAATACAAGCCGGTCAAATAGTCATTTACAATGAAATTTGTGATCGTATTGAAGCTTCGTTCAAAAAGCCATCGAAACTGTGTTCTGACACTACTCGAATGTTTAGGAAGATATTCGCAGTACGATACATGCAGTACGATAGGCATATGATACACGCAGACCCTCCAATCCCAAGAAGTTGACTGCCCGGTACTAAATAGGTTGTGATTTGTATCTATCCTAATAACAGCTTTTTTATTTTATAAAAAATCTGGTTTGTCAGTTTACAAAAAATATGATCAATCAACCTTCGAATAAACAATTCCTATGAGAAGTGACATTTTTAACCGCCAAAGCCCGCTTGACCTATAAAACTTTTTGATCATACCTTTAGGCACCTTTAGGGACATCGCATGATCAAAAAAAATACAATCAAGTCGAATTTGATTGATAGTTAAAAAACTATTTAAGTTCTCATAAAAATTGCTTATTTGTCATAATGCGCAATGCACGTTACAGAACTTTTTAATCGTATTTTAATTAAATATGAAAAAATTAATAAAATATAAAAAATAAAAGAGGAAAATTAAAAAATAAGGTATTTTAGTTTAATATTCCGCGGAGTGGCAAAAACAACTGGAACACTGGACGCGTTTCGCTAACCATGTTAGCATGAATTTAAATCATCTGCTGGTTATGCTAACGTGGTTAGCGAAATGTGCGCCTAATTAGTGTTTTATTTTCCTTTGTATAACTTCAATATTTTTTTTTAACGGAACTAGTTATTAATATAGCATTTTAATTTTATTATGTAAAACAAAAAAAAATATAGCACAGTGCAATTAATATAATTTAAATGGTTAATAATGTTTTTATATTTGACAAGAAATAAATAAGCCAATTGACACTGTCTTGTAAAAAGTCATAACGACAGACAACTACTGTTGTTTATACAACATTAAAATAAAGACATAATTTAATTATTGTTAGCTTATAATATACGTACATAATTAGAAAAATATATAGAGGGTATAAATAAAATAAATACAAAAAACTTGGAAAGTTGATTGTTTTTGAAAAATAAGGCCCAATATATTGGCCTATCGAGTCGTGAGTGTCTATATCTACTCTTACCAACACTACCCTTTAATTTTTTAAAAAACAATAAATTATTTAGAGATCAATTTTTTTGAATTTATTTATTTACACCATGTATATATTTTAAAGAGAAGCGACTTACGTGTATGTAACACGATAAGTAAATCATTTACGTCACGAACCAATGAGCGAATTCCACACACCACAACTCGCTACACAATGACGTACGTCTATGTGTTTAATTAGTCGTGAGTAAAAGATGTGACGTTGGTACATGAAGGATAAACGTAAAACTGCATAATCCGCAATCAAAGCTATGAACAGTGGCGGTCAACAAAATCCTGTTCAAAATTTTTCGAATTCTCCAAAACGGATCAAATAGTAATTTATTTCATTATCAAATATGACGTAAGGGAAAATCCTCTATATACAGGGTTGTCCGAATTGTATTAGGGACATTTCGGCACATTTTCTGCAGATAAAAAATAAGTAAAATAAGTTCGTATAAATGTATGTCCAAAAATGCTTCGTTTCGGAGATACAGAGTGTAGAGGTTTCATTTTTATTTTTATTTTTTCCAAATAATTTCTGAAGTAACGTCGATATTTGGATGAAAATTGATGTCTGGGAGTTTTTTGGCATGACAAATTTAATTTTAATGTCAATAAGCGTCCTACTAGTAGGGTGCCACCTGTATATTTTTTTCACTGTTTTCAAGAGCAATAACTTTTCGCGTACCTGTATTACACTGAGTGAAAAAATTTTAGGTATTTTACGAAAAAGATTTATTGAGTGAAATAATAAATTTTAAATATTTTTGTGCCAAAGGTTCAATAGAAATTGTTTTATCATAATTTTTCTAGAAAAATTTATGATTAATTTAAAAAATAAAAAGTTACCCAATTCACCATTTCAGCCAAATTACTACGTAGTCAACATGTTTATTTTTGTCAATAATGACATGTATTGACTATTTCTATTCCAAATATCTTGAGAATGGTTCGCCATGGCAATATTTATCTACATCTACAGACCTTTTTAAGTAAAAAATGACATAAATGTATATTTTTACTGAGTAATTTTATAAAGAAAAATTATTACTCTTCAAAACAGTTAATAAGCATGTAGGTGGCGCCACCTACAAGTAAGATGCATATTGAGATCAAAATCAAATTTATCATGTCAAAAACACCCCGATACAAATTTTCATCAAAATATCGACTGTGGTTCAGAAATTATATGAAAATAATCGAAATAAAAATGATACTACACCCAAGGCAAAGTATTTCAGGGCATAAATTTATACAAACTTTTTAACTTATTTTTATCGGTAGAATATATTGCCGAAGTTTCCCGAATACAATTTGGACCGCCCTGTATAATAAAAAGAGTAATTATATTAACAAGATATATAGACATATTGACAATAATATTACAGTTAAGAACATCGATATAAAAATACAAAGATATATTTTGAAGGAAACACCAAATTGAAAGAATTATCGTCATAACTTTTCTATGAAATAGAACTAATGAAGTGTGAATAGTTTCCAGTGAAAAAACAGAAACAAATTAAGTTCTTTATATTACTGATAAGATCTCTATAATATTTATACAGTACCTTTATAACCCACTCGATATCAGCTTAATTATGTTAATAAAATAGATTTAAGTATCAGGCGTTCAAACATTCTCCAGATAATTAATTGGATAAAATATCAACAGGTGGTATTAGAATTACCGATTTTTTCTAGAAGAATAATCTGATTTTTTTTTACTAGAACTATACTCGTAATATCAATAAAACCCTATATGTCTTTTCATTATACTAGCACTAGTCACTTCATCTGCGTACTCTGTATTTTAATGCATGCGATAGAGATAAATATAAATGACCAAATAAAAAACGGCATACAGTGTTACCGGTTTTTACGTTTGTAGAAAATGTTTGTAGAAAAAAATAAGCTATGTATTTTAAAAACTTTTATGTATACTACTGAAATGAAGATAATATAATATAAGCAAAATATAATCTATTACAAGTTGTAGTAAAATGAGTAACTAATTGTGAAAAAATAAAGTTCCAACCCTAGATGCAATATTTTTAACTTTTTTTACGAAACGAAAACGAAATTTTGACGAAATTTTGATGCAAAATCCGGCAATACCGCATAGACGAAATGCATCAACCCAGCTTTTATATGTTATTAATACATTCGATTTTCCATTAAACTGTCGAGATCACTGTAGGTCTTACACATTACAATCCAGACCAAGCCGTTTCAATGACCAGATCGGTATACATATTTATGAAAGCGGTTAACAATCAATACAGGAGCATATTATGATTTATCAATCTTTTTTATTAAGAAAGAATAGAAATTATTTATAAATAGGTATTCTTTAGCAAACTGACAAGATTCTATATACCTATTATAGAAGCAATTAACAAAAAATATGCCACAGATGAAATTATTTAGATGTCAGTCCCTAATGAAGTTAAATGTCATTAATTTACTGAAAGTTAAAAAATAATATTAAAAGAAAAAAATCTAGTTTAAAGATTTAATTTTGGTTCAAGCTTAGATTTTACTGAGGGTATAAAATTGGGACTCACTAAATGGAAAATCCCGAAGAGGACCCACAATATAAGTAACTAACTAAAATCAAAGTTGGTGGCAGAAACAACAGTCACAGAATAAGAAATAAGTCATATTTTGTGCAGTAGTTAGATATAAATACTATAGTAATGAATTATAGGAGCAATTTAGATAAAAATTCTAAAGTAAATAAATACCTACTTCACAAATCATTGTTCACAATGAAATATCTAAAAAGATTTCATAGATAGGCTTTAGGAACGTCTATGGCATATTATGACCATTATATTATATTATTTGAACAATTAAGTTGTAACAAAGTTCGCTACCGAATTAACAAGTTAAAAAAAATCATAAATGGCAACGTCTTTATAATAACAAAAATAATGAACCAGCTATAGTTACGAGTAAGCTAATGTTTATTTAGTTTGGCAAATAGACAAGCAGAGATAAATCATTATGAAGTTTTATGGCAAACAATAAAGTTCTATTGACTTCTCACTATTTTGGTAACATAAAATAACAACAAGCAACAGCGGAATGCCAAAGTAAAAATTACTAATAATATTCAAAATGTTTTGGAAATGAGCATTTCAAACCTTGTTTATTTGTAAGAATCCCAGATAAGATTTAAAAGAGCTTAAGTAAATCTTGTCAGTAGTTGAAATTATTTTATTTTACAGGGTATTTCAAAAAACATGTGCCATCTCTTGTTGGGAGATTCCTCTCGCAAAAATAACAATTTGTTTTGTAGTTTTTAAAATCTTCATTTTTTTTTATACAAGTGCTTTTATTGACTTGAATGAAATTTGGAGGGCAGAATCAGACCTATGTTGATATGAAAAATAAATCATATTTTTACATGAGGAATCTCCCCACGAAAGATGGCACATATTTTTGAAACACCGTATATTCCCCATTTTTTTTTCTAAATATATATTCAAGTTCTAAATAACGATTTCAAGTATTCATCTTTTTTATGTTATAAAATAAACACAAAAACATATTTTTTAAGACGTCTACTTAAAAATCAGCATCAATCAAAATGACTATTTAAAAATCATCAAAACTTAAATGTAATTAAAAAAAATAATTTTGCTTTCCTGTTATACTAAGAATTATTCACAAAAGTCTATCCATGCTTTTTTTCTTAAATATTAACTTTTTCTGTGAAATACAGATACAAAAAAAAGCTTCCCTCCTTTATACCCTATATGAGACTTCATTTTAAAAATCTGATTTAAAAGTATTTCAATTTAATTGCTAAATAACTAAAGAATTTCTTTACAAACAACAAAAAACAAAACTCACAAAAAGATTATATTATTCTGTGTACTTTTAAACTTGCTTTTCAAATTAAACACTTTTGCCAAGTTCTATTTTAGAAATCATAATTAGTAGAGTTAGGTTATACTGCCACATCTCAAAATAAATTGAAAATTTTCAAAGTGAACAAAATTTTATGATATCCACTTGAAACCAATTGCACATTTTTTGAAGTTGGAAAATCGTACCCACTAGGTATAAATTTTAAAACTATAAAGAGAGAGAGACCCAAAAAATGAACAATATCGTTAAAGGAATTTTTCCTTGTTTGTTAATAGGATGACAGTCAAAATACAGATATATACACGCAATAGAAATATGTATTTGCTATTACAAAAAAAATGATACCTATGACTGTCAATAACTGCATTTAACACAACATAAAAATGTTGGCAGGTACTTTAATGTCCCGAGTTTAAATTGAGAATAAAGTGTGTAGTTATATTTAAAACATGTTTGCAAATAACTCTTACAGGTTACAGATTATTAGGCATGTTTACTATTTATAGGTCATTGTTCTTGAAGATATTCCAATAAAATAAGCATCATAAACAGACAACTTTAGAACCAACACTATGCCTATTTAAACAATAAAAGGGAATTTTATAACTTACCATTAGCTCCATATTTTTCTTGGTTTCTTTTGACTTGATCGATTGTTAAACCTCTCTCTGGATCAGCACTAAAAAATTGCAGTACTTCATCCACAGTTTTGGCATGTCCGTCCTCCATTGTGCCTAATAGATTCACTTCTGAAATACAAATATACAGTACTAAAAACTAATAGGTATATAATTGAATATAATTTAAACTTTCTAATTTATTTTATAAATATATATTTATCTTTAATACATATTTACAAATATGACAATTGACAATAACAAGGCATTTTTTGCCATTTGTTTTAAATAAGAATTTTTGCTGATATTAAATACAAATAATATTCACAGTATCCACTAAAATTTTCTTTAACCCTATCATATGTTGTAAGTTGATTCTTTAATTTAAAATACTAAAGTATGTGAGGCCTCTATTATTAAAAGAAACAAACTAAAAAGAGCAAGTGCATAATAAATTAATAGATTTATTATTACACGTGGATTTTTATTTACACCCTATTCTATTGCATTACATTGCATTTATCAAGTATGAATAAATTTTGCGTTTAACCTAAAAAAATCATTGTTCGACACAAGGAACTTACCAATTCAATAAATTCAATCACCTATCTAATTAACTTAAAAATTTCCTATTTTCTAGAAATATCACACATAAACCTGTATCAGAATTTCCTTTTTTCCATTTTTTCTTTCACAAAAAGGAGGGCATAATTTTCACAAGAAACTAATCTCGGAGTTCTCTAATTGTCAGACCAATTAAGTTTCAACTTTACAACATTAAGATCAAAGCTCAAAATAAATTCTATTACTCAATGTGATAAACCGCTACGGTACAGCAAAATTTTACCGTGAAAAATTTATGAAAATCAAAAATGCTGAGCTACAAACGTAAATTACCATTGCTTTTGACGTTTGAAATGTCAACGAACGTCAAGTTAACGGAATGGCAGTTTAGAAATAGCGCAAGTCGAATAATTAAAAAGCCTTGTAAAGAAGTTCAACAGTTTTATCTGTGAGATAAAAATGGTAAACAATAGAAACACTGATCTTTAAGGTCGTATTACTAAGTAGCTCGATACTTAACATTTAACATAGAGAGAATACTAGAAAATACGAAATTGTTTATTCGGGATTACACACTATGCGCTATGCGCACGCAATTTGCGGCATGTGGATTAACCGCATTGGTCAAAATTATTCAGGTGACTTGAAAATTACACGCGCCAAATTTTTAAAATTATTAAAGGCTGAGCGCTTTTATTGATAGAATTTTGCGCTTCCGTAATTTAGCAAACGAGTCGCATAATTATTTGAAAAAAATATTTTATTTTTACACGGGCAACCCGACAAAGTCGGTATCCAGGTTTTGGGACACTTGCCAACGTACAGTTACGATTATAGCTCACTGTCGCAGGCTTTTACAAATTGTGATTTTGATTTTTGGCATAGAAAAGAGGATTTGGGTGGCTGTTTTTAAACCACGTTTCAGCGTTTCTTTAAATACTTTATCTTGTTGCGTAACTCAAAAATTGGCCAAATAAAAATTAGAGATATGTATAGAAATTTAAAAAAAAATTGGTTATCTCTATAGGTAATGTAATAAAATATAGAAGAGACATAAATGCATACCTACCAAGCAATATACTACAAAATTTCTAGTCGCTATATATATATACCCACTAATAACTTATTAGACATAAAAGCATATCTAGAAAGCAATGAAAATATTTTCTTTTATTATGTATATAGAAATAGAGTGTGGTATTTTATATTTCTCCATTTTTTGTTAATAAATTAAGATTTGGCAAAAAATTACTTGCGTGAAATTTTACTTAATAATCCAGAGGCACACACAACTTAAAAATTAATGAGTGATTATTCCAGAGTCCCATGCATCCGTTTGGGCGCCGCGGGGTACAAAATTCACTACACTGCACTGGAACTTACCGATATCACAATCCCGTGATCAGATTGGCGGCGGTTATATGTATCACAAAACTTAAGAAATAAAACGAACTGAGAATTTCGAAGTGTTAGGCCCCCATGGATGACCAAGCGCAACACATCTAAATTCTAGGTTTCCTCGCGAGACGGGCGATGGGCCATGAATGCGAGACCTTTTATAATCTCGGTAGCTACCTGTACGTAAATGGGCAGCTTGCCAAAACGGGACCACGCGACGGCTCCATACGTCCCTCTGGAAACCCTCGATTTCGACCACAAACCAACGGACAGCTGCTTTTTTTAGCCGGTACTTTGTTAGAATCTGAAAAACTATTTCATAAAAATGTTACAATTTAAGCTACCATATTATTTTAAACATTATTAACATTTTAACGTTAAACCTGTTTAGCAAAAAAAATAAAAAAGTTTGGAGATGCCGGGGATCGAACCCGGGGCCTTTCACATGCAAAGCGAACGCTCTACCACTGAGCTACATCCCCGCTGTAGAAGAGTCAGTTTTAATACTATTAATAGAAAAAGTGCTAATGAAAAAAAATAGTCAAAATCAATAAAATCTTAATTTTATGTTTGTTAATTTTCAAAGATAAGTAACTACACTACCACTTAAAGTGCAATATTATGTTACTACATCAATGAAGGTAAATCTACTTTTATATAATTTACAAATTTATACTAATTACTAATTATGCCTACTTAAATTAAAGAAGAAGATAAACAGCTGACTTCATTCTAATATATGTCAAAAAATAATATAACCTAAAAAAAATGCGGCTCAAAACAAAAATTCAAAATGTGTGAAATTAATATCAACAATTTTTCATTGTTATACCCCGAAATTAAGAAATCGTTTCAAGATGCAAAGTTTATTGGAGTAGACTTCGAATTTAGTGCCTTAAATCCAATAGTAGAATTCAGTCCTAGGTATAGTTTATTTTATGGTCTATTGTCCTTAATTTTATTATACTTGAACTTTTTTGTATTTTTCTGTTTTTTAGTATATTTGATTCTCCATCGGAACGATATTATAAATTAAAAGCAAATATAGAAAATGTTGTTCCACTTCAGGTTGGCTTAACTGCATTTATTTTTGATTCAAAGAAAAACAGTTATTGTGGAAAAATTTATACGTTTTATGTTCAGCCTGCTTGTTTTCAACATATACATAGAAATTTTTACTTTCAGTCGAGTACCATAAATTTTCTTAAATCTTACAATTTTGATTTTAATAAGGTAAGAGTTTTTAAATTTTGAATAACTTTAAAAATTCCTTAGTCATTTTTTTTAGTTTGCATACAGTGGAATTTCATTTATTAATAAGGACCAGGAACTTGAATTGAGAAGAAAGTTTAAAAATGGTGAAATTTTTGAAACTAATTGTGGTTGTAGAACTGAAATAGAAGAATTTTTTAATAGAGAAGGTGAAGTAATAAAATCTTGGTACGAAAAGGCACTACCAGGTGAATTTTTGACTGTTCCTAAAGTTCGTGGTGATCTATATTATAATGAAGAAACATTATACTTTTTACAGAAAACTTTAAGAAATAGATTCCAAAATATTTGGACCTTTATAAAGAATAGAGAATTTATTGTAAAAAAAGTATCAAAAGATGACCGAGATAATTTAGAAAAGACTGATATACTTGAAGAAAAACTCTTGGACAGTTTGTTAGGTTTTTCTAAAGTAATTCAGCTGCTAATAACATTAAAAAAACCTATAATAGGTCATAATTTTATTCAAGATTTATTATTAATGGTAAATAACTTTGAGCAAGCTTTACCACCATCATATAACCAATTTAAAGAATTAATACCAAAGTTATTTCCATTGATATTTGACACAAGAACTATATCATATGGGCTACGTAGTCAAATACCAGAAGAAAAACAGTGGGTAGATACCGGTAGGTATACTAAAATTTAATTGAACAATTTCAAACCTTTCTTAATGTTTTTACTTTAGGGTTAGATTCTATTTTCGATTATTTTAAAAACAAAGTTGGTCGCCACATAGCCCCTAATTCCCCAGCAATAGAGATAGAAAATCAAGAAAACAGTTACGGAAAGAAACATGATGCTGGTTGGGATTCCTTTTGTGCAGGTTACATTTTTATTCGCTTAGCACATTTAAACATTTATGACAAATATCCTTCATCGAAAGTATTTGTAAGCAGTGAATATATAGGAGGATTAACGCAGTATAAAAACAAAGTGAATCTTATTCGCTGCTCAGTTCCAAATATAGTAAGTTTATTTTTATGACATAAGTTGTTTTATAAACTGTTTGTGGTAAAAGGTATAATTATATGAATATTAAGAGAATATGGATATGAATGATACCTACAGTTTTCAAACTGTATTTTTTGTGTTTATTCCGTAAATCTATACAAGATAAATGTTTTGAGAGTCTACAAAAAATATTTATATGTATATAAGTTTATTCTCTCAATAATACTAAGTTATATGATAATTATTAAATTTAATTTTTTCAGTTACACCTGGTTACACCCTGAAATTGATATTTAAACTTTTGCTAAATATTTGCTAGTTTGATTCAAATAATAGAACATTTAAATTATTCTAAACATACCTAATATGTTCCAGTTAGTTTATGGAATAGATGTTTTTAAAGTTTATCAAAGACTACATTTTTTTAAAACATTTAGCATAGTGTATGAGTACAGCGCAACAAATTGAAACTCAAAAGTTTTATTGTATAGCAAAGATATCTGAATGAACCTCGGAATGAACTGCTCGTGGTTCAAGATATTGTAAATACTATTTTATACTTTATTAAATTCGTTTCCTTCACAAATTATAATTGTAGACAGAGCTGCAAGCTCACAGAAAACTTATGTCTTTTTTAATTTAAATAATTTTAGGGTGTATTCCGTTGCTTACCTTGGTTATGGTTTTATGTTCCGTTTCTATCGGTTTCCTGAAAGTTTTCTTATTACGGAACACGGTTCCTGAAAAACTCGGTTATAACTGTCACCAAACTAACCAGCGCGAGAAGGCTGGTTTTTCTGGTTTTGTTTGCCATGCAATGTCATTTATGTGAGATAAATCAAGCAAATATTGGAAGTTCGAGTGAAATTCTCATTTAATTTCTGAAAATTGTTATATTTTGTATTTACATCCAAAAGCAATGGAGGTAGGCAGTAAAGGTAAATAAATTTCATTAACTAAATAGAATTATTTTTTAGGACCATTTAAACTTATCATGCAGCCATTGTTCTCTGCATTGTTTCTTAAAGTCAGGAACATTTAAAGAAAACATGAAAAACAAGACAACAAGTAATCGTGAATGTTTTGTAAGCCTTAGGGCTCGAACTCACTGACGACCAGGTCGCAACGACCTGGCCGTCGGCTGGCCGGATGTATTACGTTTTTAGCTGCGGCCAGATGACCGACCAGTTTCAACAGAGTTGTCAAATCTAACGATTTTTTACGTTTTACCAATTAGAAAATATTGTTTCAGAAATGTTAAAATATCCGAGTTAACGAAAAAGCGAAGTTGCTATTCACAACAAACAAAAAGCATTGTGTACGCGCGACCGACAAAAAGGGAGATATTCTTTTCTTTTTTCTACTGATATGGCGCCCTTATCGACATTAGAAGTAAACATATTAGGGCCATCGTAAAAAAAGATCGTCAGACACTGGCTCTAAATATAAGCAGGTAGAAAGTTTAGCTTCCAGTTATTTCAATGTTTACAATATAGAAGAATCTACAACAGTAATTACTTCTATTTTTATAAATGTTTAAGTTGCTTTCTTAATTTTTTTTTTCAAAATAATGTACATAGTAGAAATATAGTCTTTGGATTTTCTGCACGTGTGCGAAAACTACACTAAAACACTATATCTTATAGAAAATAAAATATTGTGCCTTGAATTTGAAGGATTTCATCTGAAAAATTATTAATTTGGAAGAAAACCGGCAACAAGCGGCAGAAAATAATATTTCCGTGCAGTCTTCTGGTCGCAACGACCAACGGACGGCCAGGACGTTAGTGTGCGCTATATCATTTGATTTAATGGTTTTAGAGGTAGCTGCGGTCTGGCCGGTGCGACCTGGTCATCAGTGTGTTCGAGCCCTTAAAAATATAAATATTGATTAGATTTGTTTATTTATTATTGATCTGTTTTAATATTGGACCTGCGAATCTTCACTTGAGCTGTCTAACAAGTTTAACAGATTATTAATAAAGTACTTTTCAATATTAAACTCCATTAAAAAGAAGAAGCAAACGTAATAGCAGAGAATAGGAACATTAAAAATGCATAAAAGATAAATTTTTATAATAAAGGTATTGAAATTTAGAAAACGTCAACATTTGACATTTCCAGTATTTTACCAAACCGTTCCGTATAAAACCGATGTTTTTCAGGAACCGCTCTTTACCGTAGTTTACCGGTCTGGTTCGCCTGGTTTTGCAGCGGAATACAGCCGTAATGACTTACGTCATTTGATTTTAAGTCATCTTTTTCAAGCTGACTTAAGACTTAAAGTTTAAGTAATTTTCAAAATGATTTGTGATTTAAGTCTTTATGCCGAAATTTAAAAAGACCTAGGTCACTAAAAAAGGTTTAAATATTTTAAAAGATTTAAGCCATTTTGGAAAAGATTTACGTCTTTTTAGAAAACATTTCAGTTAGAGTCAGAGAGAATAAATTTTAAATAGAATTTAAAAACAGACAACTTAAAATCCTTACATACCGTAAATTTCGATATATTTTGCTACGTTTTCCAAATGTTTTACTGCTTTTACATCTAAATAAATGTTAATATATTTTTTAATTTAACTAAAAGCGCGAATATAGAAGAAAAAATCCCTGTAAATACATTTACTTCAACTACTGAAGTAAACTATATTTTAATATACTTGGTCAGAGAGCAATATACTAAGATATAATAAAATTAAAAACGTGAAGCCAAAAATAGAATAACGATCATAAAATTTAGTGATGCACTTTAATTTACATTATTTTTGTACATTCCTACATCTTGAAATTAATTTGAATTGACGTTTATCATATTTAAACAATTTGTAATATTCTCATAGACTGATCTGATCTGATGGATGTGTAATTAAAAGTTACATATAATAATTTGTCAGTAAAATAATTTCTTAAATGTCATAAAAGAGTGGTAGAGTATGTCCATTAAGTCAGGGAAGATTTCGACTGAAGAGGTGTTAAAAATGACAGAAAATACAGCTTTACTTGTGAGTTAAAATGACAGACAACTGTCATGGTCGAGTGTCCTCTCGTCGGGTTTTAAAATTTAAAATCAAATATAAGGCAAATATTTTCATAAAACTAGAATGTTGTTCATATAATTAGAATGAATGAAAGAGGGGTTAATCACCGCGACCTTAAAGATCTCTTTTGTCCCCCTTTCTTGAGTTGTAACTCATCATAGAGCCTATAATTCATCCTACATGAGACTCTTCCTGTTGAAGGGGAGAAAGGGTATTTCCCATCCTCTTCTGACAACAGATGTTCATCCTCCAAGAAGTGGACGTCATACTTACTGCCATTACTCGCTGACGAGTATTTGACACGCATCAGAAGATGGTTACGCAAGGCGTTTTTTTTCATGAGCTTTTCTGTGACTGAAAAGCCCGATACATGGTGTCAGTGCGGCGCCTACCCTACAATTTTGTCAGAATTTAAGCGGTTTATTACATTACATTATTTACTATTAATGTTGAGATACACAAAAATACTGTTAAAACACGGTAGTGTGTTGTAATAATCAACATTATTTGGCATTTTGCTGTGCATTTTGCATGAAGTCGCGGTCGCGGAGAGCTCGATAGGCAGAAGTTAAAAGGATATTTCGTTCCGATATTTCATATTATGATTCATTATACGTAGTATTTAAAACTTTTATATGGAGAGTCAAAAAACATTTACAGGAAATTAGAAACATTTTTCGGGCTTGACTATTCAAAATGATATAACCGGTTGTATTTCAGAACACGCCACAGAACTAATAGAATCCGAAATAAAAGGCGCGTTGTTTTATTTCGTCCCAGCAGACCATGCAGAAAAGTCTCAGCGTGCTATTTCAATTCGATATGTTAATAAAACGGGGGAAGTCAAAAACTTCTTTGCGAATTTTATGAAATATTGGATAACATTGTTATACATTTAGAAATAAGGTTTGCAGATATGTCTCAATTATTTTTATTTATCTATTGCTGTTTCACAGAAATTTAAAGAATCCTATAAAAAAAATCCAAAGCATTTAATATCTCATTTAACAAACTTTTACCGCAATGTTTTTGACCAACATAAATAATTAATGAATAAATTGCAGGTATTAATTATAGACATGATAATTTTCGATTATAAAATAATTTAAGGAGAATGATACTGGAAATAAATTTCCAGAGAGTTGCAAATGGTTTATTTTGATTGTTACTACACCATTTACAAGTACTTGGGTTGAGAGACATTTTTCATTTTTGTCACTTGCCTTCCTTTCATTCTAAATAGATATTTTCACAGCCCTTCAATAATCTAATGATTTTAATTATATATAATAATAAAAATATTTTTTTTATTAAGAGATCCACTGTCATTACGTTGAATGCTGCCATCTATTTTTGCTATAGTTTTGTCCTAAGTATTCTTGAGGTTTGTTTTTAACCCAGAGATAACATATATTTACGAACTGGGTTAGGGTATTATGTAAATTTGGGGGGGTTCAAATAGATGCAACTAAAAACTTCCCAGTCCTACAGGTCACGAGCCGCCACTGCATGGTGTTATCTTTCTTCCGCACTCCGGACATTCAAAAATCTTATTACTTTGTTGCCTCTTTACGTTTTGGTTGTCGTTGTTAACTGAGTTTACAGTTCTCCATTACGTTCTATTGTGCGCTGCTTCTTTCCACTGATTCTGCATGCTTATCCCCTTTAAGTTTTCATGGAAAATATCCTTGTATCTTTTGAGTTGTCCACGCGGTTTCTTCTTACCGTCTACAAGCTCACCGTAAAGAAGAGATTTCGGTAGGCGGTTTTCTTGCAGTCTGCATACGTGGCCAGCCTATCTTAAGCGGGATTTATTTACTTTAAGCACATTTATTTACTTATACAGTAGATAGTAAGAAGCTGAAAAGAGAGCATTCCTGTTAAAATCATAAGTACTGGTGAAATAAAAAAAATTATTTTATATATATTTTTTTCTTTATTCTACAGAATTTTGATGGACCGGATCCAGTAACTACAAGACCTCCATATTTAGTGATCGAATCTCGAAAAAATCAAGCTATAAATATTTCCCAGGTAAAAATTCCAATATAATTTCTAATTAAGTTTAAGATTTCCCTGAAAATATTTTTATATGTCCGCTGTTAACGCTTAAGTTGCGATTTTTTAGGTAGTTATTTTAAAATAACGACTATTGTTTTGCACTCAGGACAAAACTGTCTCTAAAAATATAATTTTTTGAAGGTCTCGACAAGGATTCGCAATTTTTTACGGAAAAAGTCGAGAAAACTCGTGTTCCGCAATCAGACTAAATTAAATAAACCTTTAAGTTGTTAGAAATATTTTCGACATAATATTTGTTTATTATTCAGTAGTTTATAATCTTTTTCACGTCGAATGTTAATATTGGAGTAGAATAATGGTTGTTCGAGCTGTTGGATTTTTCTAGCATTAAAAAGTTTTATTATGTTAATGAAAGTAGGTAATATACCAGGTGCGTCTCAAAAGGGGCTCACCCCTATAACTTTTTTATTTTTTCAGATAAAAAAACGAGATTTGGTATATGACATAAATTAGGATTGATTGACGCATTCAATTGTTTTTGGTCACTTCCTGTTTCACCCTCGGTATATTTTTACTTTATTCGATAAAAAATGACACTCTGAATAGAATGACGTATCAAATGTCGATTTAACTTTTGACATTTTCGCATATGATTTATTTGAAATTGTAACATGCGGTTCATACCGACAATTTTACTCAAAATACCAAGTGTGTGGTACCAAATTATTCGTAAAAAAATGCTTTTTCCAAATATGCTAATGAGCCACACTTGTTCCATTTGAAAAAATTGAGATATGATTAAAAATACGATTTGGGTATCTTTTAACAGGCCAGGACAAGACACGAAAAATATTAGATGATCAAATCTATTTTTCCAAGGTTCCTGAATTAAAAATTAGTGTTTTCATCACAGCCATGGCACTCTAGATTGAAATTTAAAATACGATTTTTTGAGGAAAAATGTGAAAAGTTAACATATGGTATATGTCATTTTATTCAGAGTGTCATTTTCTATCGAATAAAGTAAAAATATACCGAGGATGCAATTTAAAAATCAAAAGTTGTAGTCATTTCCGGTGAAACAAGAAGTGACCAAAAACATAACAAATATGGTTTTTTTATCTGAAAAAATAAAAAAGTTATAAGGGTGGTCCATTTTTGAGACCCAGCCGGTATTTTTTGCATAAATAATTTATTATATATAGTAATGTCTGTATTTATAAATAGTAAAAATGTTCAATTCAAATAAGTATTTTATTGAATCTTTTCAGGTTACATCTTTATTAAGCTCATTTGGTTTCGTAGAAATACGAAAAATGCGATTTGCAAGGACCAAAGCCTTAGTAGCAGTCGATAATTTCGGCAAGTGAGTATAAAAACAAATAAACATTTAACACTATGAACTAACAATAACAAATATGATTACGCTTTTTAAAGGTATGTAAAATATGTATTAAATTCTTGGTTCTATTTAAATTTTAATTGTTTACTTTTTATTAGTATGAGGTGTCAAAAAAACATAAAATAAAATTTCATTTAGTGTAAACTAGGGTGAATCAGAGCACATTCGTTTGGGAAATATATTAAAAATGCAGCATACAACACTAATTCTTCAAAATAAAATAAGAATTGTTTATTTCTTATCGGGATCTGTTTCTTTTTTCTGTGACTTTGTGTAGTTTTTTCTTAATTCCTGTAAAATACTATCTGGGTTTATTTTCTGACAGGGCACTTACTATTTTTTTCTTAGTTACTCTACCACTTGGAGTATTACAGAGACAATTTCACACCACTACTTATTGAAGTGGTGAATAGAATTTTAGTGGAAATGTTTTAACATATAATGACATATGAAAAATATTGAATTTGCGATTGTACCTTTTAAAAAATGTTCTTACAACTGCTTGGCAGTGAAATTCCATAGAAATTTTACTACATTCACTTGTAATCTTTCAAGATCTGTTTGCACATATTAAAGCCATAATCTTTGAGTTTAAGTTCCTCCACAGGTCTATCTGCTCTGTCAAAATCATACGATTTTGCAAGCTAAAATTTGCAATTGTTTCCAAATACTTAACTTGGATTTCTTAGTATTCGCGCTTAACTGCTGAGTCTCCTGATGAATACTTTCTTTACCGAAACGAATCATTTTGCTCACACCGGGCCACAGAAATTTACTACAAAACTGACAGCTGTCAAACGTAATTTAAGATTTTACTTAGTTAAAATACGTCTACTGGATAAAGGAATTTCAAGAATGTGGACACAATATTGGAGTATAAACAATTTTCTACAAAAAAAAACATTTAAATAAATAGCAATATATTTTATAAATCGCTACCTATATGACGCGGCAGTGAGTCTACGTGGACTTGACGAGTATATCACCGCAAAACACACTCGACCCACTCATTTCATTGAATACTTGCAAGAATTTTTATTGATGGGACGCGTCGTCTAATTTTTTACGAGAAATATCGATTAAACGATAGCAGACCGAGCTGGGAGAACAGTGCAGTCGTTATCGGTAAAATAGTTGCCTGATTTTATTGATTTTTTATTGTTTTTCTTCTTAATATTTTAATTTTTCTAAAGATTATGTATCATTTACGTGGAAAAACATTGAAAAAATAACTGATTGTGTATTTTTTAAATTTTTTGTATAAATAAGTAATGTTATCTAAAATATTTATGGCACGCCCCTGCACCGGCTAACAGAGAATATCGTGTCCCCCCTTACGGATGCCCCGTAGCTACAGAACGGATAGACGTATTGTACCATGACGACTGAATTACCAATACTGGTGTCTTGTTAAAGGAAAAAAAGTCATTGGCAAAAATCAAAAAATATAATTTTAAAATGATTTTAAACCCAATTTGGTGTGAAATTTTCTTGCTGAATACCAACATCAGGTTGAATTAAATCCGCAATTTTTCCTCTCTCATGAATATTTTTAGAAAATTATCCCTCATCTTCGACTCGGGATAACTTTTAAAATTTTCATGAACTCGAAAAAAATTCCGGAAATAATTTAATCTCTTGTGATATTATTAGTGATAATAAATACAATTAAGTTATATTATTTCTTAATGCGATATTATGAGAAGGTCAAATACGATCTATATCGAACAGCTATTTCTTATTAGACCTGGCCGAGTTATATATACCAAGATGGCATTTTTAAAAATATTGGCAAAGGCCTAAACGTCGCAGACTCAATATTAATTAAAAGCAGCTGCATTGTGCATCAAAGCGAACTTGATTTTTGTATTTAATAAGCCGAAGTGACTGTTAGCTTGAGTGTTTGCAGGCCAAAATTCAACTCCTAAAAATACCTTCAGACTAGCGGAAAATAATGATGTAATATGAAGTATATATGAAAGTTGTTTAGTCAGTATGATCACGCAATAGTTAATCCAGACCTCGAGATACAATAGATAAATGAATTGCAACAGTAGTTTATTCACTGCAAACTGAAATTGACGAACAAAATATGGAACTCAATAAAATAAATATATCAATTATTCAAAACTAAAACTATTTATTAAACTAAACATATGCATAATAGTTAATAATAAATAATTTTTGCGATATTATTTGTACACATCAACAAGTGTTGGTTATACATATACATATATATATATATATATATATATATATATATATATATATATATATATATATATATATATATATATATATATATATACTGCCATTACTCGCTGACGAGTATTCGACACGCATCAACGCAAGGCGTTTTCTTTCATGAGCTTTTCTGTGACTGAAAAGCCCGATACGTGATGTTATTTGCCTACCGCACTCCGAACATTCAAAAATGTCATTACTCTGTTGCCTCTTTACATTTTGGTTGTCGCTGTTAACTGAGTTTACAATTTTTCTCTATTGAGTTCTATTGTGAACTGCTTCTACCTAATGATTCTGCATGTTAATCCCCTTTAAGTTTTCGTGGAAAATGTCCTTGTACCTTTTTACCTATCCTATGTTATAGGACTTGTTTCTCTCTACAAATTCCTGTCTCACAATGTACCGTTTATATCCAGGAAGGGTTCATAGTTTCATAGTTGTCGATTTTCGGAAGAAATCAGTACATGTATATTATGTCGTATATTTTTCATTTTATTGATTTTATGGAAAGAACTGTTCATTAAAATGTTGTATCCTATGTTATAGGGCTTGTTTCTCTCTACAATTTCCTGTCTCACAATGTACCGTTTGTGTCCAGGAAGGGTTCATAGTTTCATAGTTGTCGGTTTTCGAAAGAAATCAGTACATGTACAGTACGTCTGCTGGATCTGTGTCTATGAAAGGAATGTGGACAAAAAACATTTAAATAAACAACAATATATTTTATTCGTCGACTTGAGTACGGCACCTCAAATCGCTCCGCCCACTCATTTTATTGGCTACTTGCAAATTTGTCGAATTTTTATTGATGGGACGCGTCGTCTAATTTTTTACGAAAAACATCGAGAGAATATCGTTTCCCCTCTCACGGATACCCCGTAGCAATAGAACGGACAGACGTACTGTATATTATTTCGTATATTTTTCATTTTATTGATTTTATGGAAAGCACTGTTCATTAAAATGTTGTATCCTATGTTATATGGTTTGTTTCTCTCTACAATTTCCTGTCTCACGATGTACCGTTTGTGTCGGGGACGGGATCATAGTTTCATAGTTGTCGATTTTCGAAAGAAATCAGTACATATATATTATTTCGTATATTTTTCATTTTATTGATTTTATGGAAAGCACTGTTCATTAAAATGTTGTATCCTATGTTATATGGTTTGTTTCTCTCTACAATTTCCTGTCCCACAATGTACCGTTTGTGTCCAGGAAGGGTTCATAGTTTCATAGTTGTCGATTTTCGGAAGAAATCAGTACATGTATATTATTTCGTATATTTTTCATTTTATTGATTATATGGAAAGAACTGTTCATTAAAATGTTGTATCCTATGTTAGAGGGCTTATTTCTCTCTACAATTTCCTGTCTCACAATGTACCGTTTGTGTCCAGGAAGGGTTCATAGTTTCATAGTTGCCGATTTTCGGAAGAAATCAGTACATGTATATTATTTCGTATATTTTTCATTTTATTGATTTTATGGAAAGAACTGTTCATTAAAATGTATCCTATGTTATATGGTTTGTTTCTCTCTACAATTTCCTGTCCCACAATGTACCATTTGTGTCCAGGAAGGGTTCATAGTTTCATAGTTGTCGATTTTCGGAAGAAATCAGTACATGTATATTATTTCGTATATTTTTCAGTTTATTGATTTTATGGAAAGAACTGTTCATTAAAATGTTGTATCCAATTTTGAGAATTAACATGGGATTACCTATGTCCCGCGTTCCGATGCACCACACGGTATAAATAATTTGAAGTGTTGGTTAATAAATCAGATCATTCTTCATTTTACATTTAGTTACAATTATTGTTAAACCTCATTCAAAACCTCGAAACTAGTAGAATAAATTAGTGGTTTCAATTATATTTTATACTTAAAAATTTACGATCGTTCACAATGTCTAAAAAATACAATTAAAATTAACAGACTATTCTAGCAACAGCTTGCGGTATAGAGAGACTAAAAATTAGCTTATAAAACAATAAAATTTTCATTTTAAACCACAATTTCTCTTGACGGATGATAATCAAAGGCCAAAATGACTATTCGCAAATTTTGAAGTATAGCTTGATTTTCATTGCATCCGTTATACGTTGATACGGCGGTCCCACGACGGACGGTGCTCTGATTGGTCATAGCGTTTTCGCGCCACTTTTCATCCGTAAATATTTTACTTCAGCCCGTCAACGGACCCGTCCATACGATAACGGACGTTCTGACACTGTTTTGACAAATTTAATCTAACCTTAATAAAAATATAAGTAAAATAGCAAAATCGTTATGGAAACGAAAATATAAAATAACACCAACGTATATCCGATAAACGGAGGCATGAAAATGCAATAAATTTAAAAACTGCGTTATTTTCTAACCAATCAAAGTCTTTAAATTCTACCAATAAAATTAATATCGTATCAACGTATCGTCGGACAACGGATGCATGAAAATCAAGCTTAACTAATGGCGAAAGTTGAAAGTTTGTTAAATTTTTCTACTAATTGAAAATTACCACCACTAATTAAATTAGAGAAACAAACATCTACGGTAACTGAAACCACTAATTTATTCCACTAATTTCGAGATTGTGAATGAGGCTTTAAAGAAAAGTGCTGCTATATTGAAAATACTTAAAAAATATATCTCATTGTCAGATATTGGGCGGTTACCGAATGACAAAGCTGCTAACTGAGCAGAAAAAGGCTCCA